AACCAAATTTTGACTGAGAAGTATCTTTTCAAAGCAACAGAGCATATAATGGGACAATTTAACACTGCAGACAATTGACCATCAAACTATCCCAGCTGCAGTCTACATTAGACCTGTAGCATCGGGCTGCTTGTCATTTCAAAACACCTTGTTGCATATTTTGTAGTTTTGCAGGAGGTTTCACTTTTTCAGCTTCAGGGTCTGACTTTGGGTGTCAAACATGTATGGCGGTACCATTATGAATCTGTTTCCTGATCTTGTTCATTAAATGCAATAAGAATATTTTGTATAGACCTAACTTGCTGAAACAATTTTCTTGCAGAAACTTTCAGAGCTTCCTGAGAACAAGGATGTGGTTTTCTTGAAAGTGGATGTGGATGACGCTGAAGTAAGTATTTATCTGGTTTTCATTCATTATACCATACCAAATCGTAAAACATCATCCAATGTGCTTAACAGAACTAATGGTTTAAATGAGGTAGGAAAGTATGAAGTAGTGGGTTAATCATAACTTGTTTGATCTTCTCTATCGACTAGTGATTAATATATAAGCTGACATTTTCCTTAAAAAAAACAAAAAAAAAACACAAAAGGGATATGAACGATTTAAACTCTCCCTTGGGGGAAGGAAAAACGTGATTTACAAAAACAAACCTGGTAGAACCGGTTAAATAAACACTTTATCCATTCATGCCAAAATACAGAGTCTGGTATCATAAAATGCCCTTGAGGTAAGTGAGTCGATTATTAGTGGATTTTTATAGCTCTTCACTGCACTGCTTCTCTAAGCGTCATGATGAATAGAAACTACTTGCTTTACCATTAAACAAAAAGCACTCTATGGAAAAAAATAACTGATCAAGCAGGAGAATTTGAAAAAGTTGTAGAGGAAGGTTGAGATATGGAAAGGTGTCTTTCAGCAGCAAAACTAGAATTCAAGGTTGTCCAACTATGGGCTATCTTAAGAACAGATCCACATTTTAATAGGGTTAAGATTAGGGATGCACAATATAATCGTCCCCCTATCGGTTTGGCCTTAAAACTGAATATCGGACATCGGCCACCCCACCGATATTTAACCCGATATTTGAAAAAAAAAAAGACTTTTTCCTTAAACTTTTTTACAGACTTAAAAACTTCTAAAGAGGAGGGAAAAATATTGATACATTAAAATATCACAATATGTTCATATGCTGATATATTGCCATTTAAAAACACCATATCAATCTCTTTTACTAATGAAATATTGCTATATGTCATCGTTATGCTACGAAATCCCCCGAAAATTCACGAAATGTTGCCATATTTTAATATGTTGATATATTGACGCGTATCGATCTATTTTACTAACAAAATCTCACAAGAATTTGCATAATATCACCAGAGTTTGTAACAGAACGATGAAATTTCATGAGATTTTGAAAGTAAAATAGATCGATACTGCGTTTTTAAAAATCAATTTGATATCAGCGTATGAAAATATATTTGAGTGTATATATATATTATTTTTCAAAGTGTCAGAAATGGATAACAAAACTATTTTCAATGACTACTTATTTTTGTCCAGCTTTAACATCAGTATCGATATCGGTTATCTATTTATTTTATTTATTTATGTGTTTATTTGAACAGGGACAGTGCACATTAATAAACATTTCTGTAAATGAGCCAGTGTTAGCTAAGTAGCTAATTTTCAACTGTAGTCCCTGGGCAAGGTTTAAAATGCCAACATAATCGGCTACATGAGTTTTAAAATATCAGATATCGGTCAAAATCCCAATATCGTGCATCCATAGTTAAGATGCTAGATAGACCAGTTTGTTGGGCTACTAAATAAAGCTTGGAACTCGACACTAATCCAGACATTTTGAATTGAAAAAAGCTTCCTGGATGGGAAGTGAAATGTCTTCAAACTTGGAAAACGTGTGTTGTTGTTTTTTTTTGTTTTGGAATGACTAACACATGGATGATTGAGAATATTCGCCAGTTTTAAGATGCTAATGCTAGTTTATTTATTTATTGTAATTATCCCTGCCAACCCCCAAATTGATATATGCATTTTTTCCATCAGGATGTGAGCACCCACTGCAAAATTTCATGCATGCCCACATTCCATTTCTACAAAAATGAACAGAAGGTAAGTTCACACCTATTTATGGAAAAGCTTCTTAACATTTAGACAAATCAAATTTAATATATATATATTGTGTGTCTTTATAATCGTACAATACCCCAGTTTTGTTGACGTATGGGAGATTGTGACCTAATGTGATCTAACTAAATTTTTTATTTTATTTTTTTAATGTTTCAGGTGTTTGAGTTCTCTGGCGCCAACCTGGCAACACTGAAAAGCAAACTTGAAGAGCTGAGATAGGCATCAAAGTACCCCACCCCGACGTCTGATGCCATTACCTTCTCAACATACCTGAGACAATTCACCTAAACCATAATGTCCTCTATATGTCCCACCCTTCCTGTGACGGCCTTGTTGTCCTGTTTTTAGATCAGCGTGTCCATCAACTGAATTCATTTCCAACCTGACTAAAGTATGTTCTAAAGTAACCTAGTGTCTCAACCCTTCTGTATATTTTCACTGAAGTGAATAAAGTTATCCATGAATGAAACTTTTTGGGGCATTTTTTTCTTTATTTAAATGAAAAATTAGTGGGGGGAAAATAACAGGAAAATTGTAGATGCTCCATTGTGATAGTCGGTGTCATTCAGTCCTCAGCTAGCTAAGCAACATGTACCTGTGGGAAGTGAACACTAGGACACTGGGAACAATGGGCTCTATACACAAATCCACTTCTTCCTGAATTTAAGGTGGCTCTTTTGTTTCCCATCTTTTTCTACTGGATGAACTGATGAATCCAGGTGTGCCTGACCTCAGTCATCATGGCCAGTTATTCCTGGATTAATCAGTTCATCCAGTAATGAAAGACACTTTCCAAACTAAACTTTGCTTTAAACTGTTGTGTGCTTGGAAAAATAAATTGTAATGTTAATCTAAAAAAAACTTGACAGGTTAAAAACTTAAGATAAATCACAAGACAGAAGTCAATGTCACAAATGAATAACTTTAATTTTAGAGTCCCAGTATGTTTATACAAGATGATACTATTGATATATTGTGACTTTTCTAGAGAATCATTATACATAGTTATTTTATACAGGGTTTCCACAGTCTTTGATAATTTCAGATTTCCCTGACTTTTAACTGACTATGGATTAGTTTTCCCTGACAACATAAATGCAGCAATAAGACAATAACAACCGGTCACCAATTTAACTTGTTTAGCTCTATAAAATCTAAATGCAAGAGAAGAACATTTTATGAAAATTTTTTAATGTATGACCTGAATCACTGTACAGAAGACTGCCTTAAGATAGCCATATTTACACTGTGTGCATGGCATACAATTATGCCAATTTTCCTAATAACTGACCGATAATTTTTAATCTAGGGTTATCTGGGTGGTGAGTGTGTCTGATTCACACCAATTCCCAGACAAAAATCATGCCATCTAGCGGAAAATCTCGCAGCTTTTTCAAATCATGCGCGAATGTGACCTGTGTGCTAACCAAGAAAATCCATAAATAAATGCAATATAAACGCTGATGTATCCCATAGTATAGTATCTAGCATAGTAGGCTATTAGTCTGGCTATCTTGGACATACCAAAGATATTAAATGAGTTAACCATCAACATTGTGTCTAACGGTAGAAAGTAGAGTAAATGGAAAGTAATTCACTGTGAAATGTCAATGTAGTTATTCTTTATGTGGATGACACTGTGGGGTTTGTAGTTTTTCTATTTCTCATCTGAAAAGTATTATGCTGAAAATATATTGCATGTTATATTGAGGGGGGAAAAAACAACTCGACAATTTTAAGGGTAAGCAGTCTTAAAGCTGAAGTCTGTACGTTTTTAAAAATCACTTTTTTGTCATATTGGCTAAAACTGTCCCTATGCCCAGACAGCAGTACATGTGATATGTAACCTGTGAAAAAAACTGCTTCAATTGGTACCGCCTAGCATTTTCATGGAGTGAAAATAGTTTTGAGTCAGGACTTTTGTTTTCCTTTACACTTAGGGTTTTAATCTGGAAATTTGCCGGAGTATTCTAAAGTTTTTGTCTCAGAGCCCTTTTTTGCTTTCAGTTTAGGCCCC